AACACAAACTAAATATTTAAAACAACATCAAATTCCTAACCCCCCCTACCATGCACGAATTTTTAACGTGATGAAAATCGGATCGGAGTGCGAACTTTGTAAATAAACAAAAAAAAAAAATTAAATATCAAACGTATAATAATCTTTGTAATATGAATTTATAAAAAAAAAGGAATATTAGTAATCTTCAATCATATGAAGAAGAACCATGCAACGGCTGCGAGAACAGCTCTAGAGACAGAAATCTCAAACGATGAGGCTCTTGACGTAGGCGACTCAGCTTCAGGACCGTCGCTAGCCGTTCCCTCGTCGGAGGACGGAGACATGTCTGGAGTCGGAGATGGCGGAGACGAGGTGGAAGGTGCGTCGGATGAGCTGGTGGGACCTTCAGACTCTTCACCTGAGTTTGAGTCGGGGCTTGAAGCCGGAGTTTTAGCCGATGACGATTTTGGAGGTTTCGCGGTGGTGGTGGAAGGTGGGGAAGCGGTAGGAGTTGCAGTGGAGTTTTTCTTGGCGGTGGTCGGAGCAGCAGCTGTAGGCGGCGAGGATGGAGCGGAGGAGGATGATTTTGGGGATGCTGCAGCGGCCGGAGAAGAAGATGTAGAGCTTTTTCCGCCGTTAGATTTTGGAGCGCCGGCTGGTGATGGTGGATCGGCGGCGAAGACGGCGGTAACGGCCAAGGCGGCGACGGCGAAAGATAGAAGCTTAATAGTCATTGTCATTTTTTGTGTTAATGTGCGATTTTTTTTTGTGTTTGGTAATTAAATAATTGTTTACTTACGTTTTGGTTTTTCTTTTTGGTATATGGTTAGGGTGAAAAAATTGAAAGAGAAGAAAAGAGTGATTTTGGAGAAATTAATGAGGAGATTAATTGTAATTTATAGGAGTTTTAGAGATTTGACCGAAGTTTTAGTGGACCAGGTCCATCGGAACTTGTCTTAAAATTTTATTGGTTTTAGCTTTTGTTAGTAAAAGAGAGAACATGTGGTCATGGTAATTTTCAACTTTCAAGAAACCATAGAAAACATGTGACGATAGTAATTTTCTAAGTGAAATTCATTTTGTGTAGTGACCAATTAGTACACTTTACAAGAGGCTTGAAATATCAAGATTTTGTATGAGTCAGTTTAGTCATACATTGACGCCAAAAAAAAAAAAGTCATACATTGTAATATTTTGTATAAGTGAAATAATAAGATGGCAAACTTAAAATTTATCTTAGAAAAATATGTTTTACAAGAATAAAAATAATATGAACGTAGTTTAATACTCCACTCTTTTACTTTAAGTGAGGTTTCGGAAATAAAAATTGTTTTATTTTGATTGAACTTTAAATTTCGATATTTTACTGTTTAATTCTGCTGGTAATAAAACATTTTATTTATTTTTAAAACTAAAAATTGAATGATTTTTAATGTGTACAAAAACCTTAAACATCATATAAAGTAAAATAGAGGGACTAAAAACGTTTATTTGAGATAAGATTAACATAAAAAAAATTTTAGATTTGAATAAATTTAAGTCGCAAGTGTTTTTTTTTTGTCTCTTTAGAGGTACCATTAACCTTTTAATGATAAATGATGAGTTACTTCTTAGTTTATTTTTAATGATGAGTTA